GCAGCAACCACAACCCATCCCCTGGGAGGCTCTTGGGGCTGCCAGCCAGCAGAGGTTGGGACTCCACATGTGTTCCTGCTGCTTCCAGATGTGTTGGAGCCATCCAAGCCGCCGGCTGGCAACCTCCAGGAGAAGTGCTCTGCCCCAAAGCATTGCCAGGGTTTGCCTGGACAGGGACATCGTGCCACTGGCTCACTGGTGTGTTTGAGTGCAATGGTGCTGGGCAGCTTGAGCCCACCAGCTTGCCCCCAGGCTGGCTGTGATCATTAGGAACAGTGTTATCCACAGGAACAGAGGTGGGAACTCCTGCTCGAAGCCCTTGTCCTGGCCTTGCCAGCTGAAGTGCTACAGGGGACTTGCTGCAGGAGACTGGGACATCCAGAACAGCGCTCCCCACCAGCCCAGCTGGGTTAGACAGAACCTGCTGCTCTGGTTGAGCAGAGCTAATGGGGACCAGAGAGACCACAGCATCTCGGCCTTGGGCACCAGGTGCCTGGGGCTGTGGCGGTGCTTGAAACACTGAATGAGTTGGCCAGCAGTGCTGGAGGTGAGCTGCAGCACCATCCTCCTCATCGCAGGGTGAGGCAGTGCACTGCGGGAAGGCCATGCTCTTCCCAGCATCCTGCCCGAGAAGCATCTGCTCCATGTAGGATGTCACTTCAGTGTCAACCTCCTGAGCTGGCAGCTTCTCCTCTGCACCCAAGCTGAGCAGAGCCTTCTCCCACCGCTGCAGCTCTGCATTGTCCACGTTGAGGCTCTGCAGGATCCGAGAGACGTTTCCATCCACCTCACTCTTCTCAAAGAGGGTCTCAATAACGACCAGGAGGGAGTCACTGTCCTCCTTGGCATCACTGACACCTTCATCCTGGCTCAGCCCATTGGGCTCAGCGATGAGCTCTGGCAAGAACTGAGGCGTGTTATCACCATGGGAGCTGTGTATGGATGTATCCTGCTTCATCACGGCCCCAAGAAGAGGCTTGGGGTCTACCAAGCACTGCTTCAGGTGGGAGTTTGCTTGTGTCTGCGACTTCTTTGCCTCGAAGGAATCCAGGGGCTCAGGAAGGTCATTACTGTATAAGATCGCTTCCCCCGTGACAAAGGTAAAAGGCAGCTGCAGGTTTCTCTTCCGCAGATGTTCCTCTCCTTCTTCATCCCTTCAGGGCAGAGGGAAAAGTGATGGAAACAGCATGAGCATTTCCCTCTACAAGGGACCAGACAAAACCACCCTCTCAACAGTGAGACAGGGTTAGGGTCAGCCCTGCCCTGGCTTTTCTAAAGCAAAGGGTGCTCGACTCGGCTGGCTACAGTGATACTGGTGGAGGACTGGGCCTCTGGGAAGGGCCCAGGGAAGGGCTGTGTGTCCAGGGCTCATCCCAGGCAGGAGCGAGCATAGAATCATGGAATGGTTTGGGTTGGAAGGGACCTTAAAGCTCATCCAGTTCCAACCCCAACTTCTGCCTAAGGTCTAATCTAGCACCGAGAGCACTGAAGGCAGATGGAGACCCAGAGATACTCACGAGAGGGCTCGCTGCCGGGCAATGATGCAGTCGGGCTTGCCCCCCTTGTACACCAGCCGGGCACTGGCCTGCACCCACACCCAGGCCCCCTTCTTGGTCAGGAGCCGGAAGACTATCATCCCGCTCTCCCCTGTCTTCATCACTGGGGCAGGGAGACAAGAGAGGCAGCAGGGACATGGTTACTGCATGGGGACAAGGTGCCATGAGCTTGAGCATCACCTCATGCCCGTGCTATGGGGCAGTGTGGGACGCAGCTGGCATGGCGCATCCAATGCTGTCCCTCTGCCAGCTCCAGGCTGGGACACACAGCCCCACCAAGGAGCAACGGTGCTGGAGAGTCATGAGAGACCCCCTAAACACCCTCATCCCAATGTGTCCCCCCCAACACTCACTTCTCACGTGGCTCTCAGCACAGTACATCATATCAGCGGCGTGCACAAACTGGTACCCGGACCCCCTCCTGCACAGCTCCGTTTCCGTGTACCCCAGGACAACCGTCCCTCTGCAAACATGGGGAACAGTGATACCAGGGATGGATTCCCTAATTGCATCCCACTGGACAGACATGGTCCCCTGCCCGAAAGCTTCCCACTCTGGGTACCACAACTCTCCATCCTGGGCTGAGCTGCATCCCCTCTCCCACAAAACCACCCCATGTTGGGTTTGCTGGGCTAAAACCCAGCAGCCAAGAAGTGCTGGCACCCAGTTAAGTTGCTCCTCATGTTACTGGGGAGCTGCAGTGGATGGACAAAAGCATCAGACATCTCGCCATGGGAGCTGGGTCAGAAGTGCCCTGCTCCCATTGGGCTCTGGTATTCCACCCATTTTGCCATAGGGAAGGTGAGATGCCCTACCGGGAATCACAGGCCGTGGGTGTGAAGTCCAGCTTGTGCTTTGTCTGGAAGATCAGCGTCTTGGTCTGGAGCTCCAGGATGGAGAATGGCTGAAGGACAGTCGCGATGGCGAAGAAGACAAATGGGGCCATGTCTGATGGTGACTTCTGCTGCCCAAGGAGGCACTTCAAGCGCCCATGGAAATGCAAGGCCTTGGAGAGGATTAGAAAACATGGGTGTGAACAGGGTGATGGGAACTGGCTGTGCTCTCTCCCCATGGAACACCAGTGGTCCCTTGGGAACAGGCTGGGGGGTACCACAGAACCATGAGGGGGGGATCCGGGTATTACCAGGAATCCCGAGGAGTTATCCAGCAAGCAGCGGAAGCGGCAGGTGAAGCTTCTCTCCATGAAGGAGGGCTCCTCGGGGCTGTATCCAGCCAGCAGCTCCACGGGAAAGGCTGGGAAACCAAAGGGAAAATGAAACCTTCCAAGCTGCACATACCTCAAAGCCTTGTAGGAGTGCTCCTGGTGGAGATTTTGCTGCTCAAATGAACTATAGAATGGTTTGGGTTGGAAAAGAACTTAAAGCTCCTCCAGTTCCAACCCCTGCCACGGGCCGGGACAACTTCCACTCGAACAGGCTGCT